TTCATAATTAAGTAGATATAACAGCTTAGGTTCCACATTTTTAACCGCAATTCATTATTTTACAATGTTTTAAAAATCTAAAACCTATCCTCCGTGTCTGTTACTCTTTCTAGGTTAACCTATATGTTTTCAAATATCTGAGGTAGTAAAAGCATACTAAAAATATCAGTTCACTAAGTAAATTAAACACATTCAAAGCAATCGAATCAAATATAAAATATTATTAAAAATTAAAAGAAATAATTTTTATAACCATTTATGTAGGTGTTACAAAAATTGACTATCCTCCGTGAATCTGTTTTTGCTCTAAATTGTATGCAACGGATGGCGCTTTAATCATTTTTAAATAAGCAAACACCTATTTTTATATGTGATTCCTGAAGGTCAGTTGGAATTTATATGCAGATGAGAGTGTTGCTGTTTTATAATTCAAAAGTTTAAGTTCATTAATTTGCTATTTAAAAACCTATCCAGCGTGAAGTGTAATATCTCAGTAAGTAGATTTTTTTTATAAATATTTTATGTATGTACAATTGTATTTTTACAAAATATTAAGGTGTCAAAAGATACAATAACTTCTTTCAAATATACAAAGGGATATTTTTAAAAAAACATACGAAATCCTAACCTCCGTGACTCTATTTTCGTTTGTGTTCCGAACCATACAGTTAGTTAAACTTGTCAATGCGTATTAGGCTGGTTCAAAAAAATCGAATATTTTTTTTTCTTCAAAGCCCGCATTGAAATAACTTCCTAGCAGTAAAAAAAGAAGCCTGTGAAAATTGTAGCTCTTAATATTAATATTTAGAGGTCGCTCATCGTGAATTTCTATTTTACGTTTAAATAACACAGGAATTCTTTTTTCTTAACTTTGAAATTGTATAACTCGTTTTTGAGTGAACATATTGAAATGAACTCTATATATTTTTAAACAAAATTGAACGTTCTACAAAAAATGTCTCCTATAATTTTTTCGTAAATTCACTCCTTTAATAGTTATTCAAGGTTGAAATTAGACATATAATAAATGTAACGTTTAAACACAGGAATTTTTTTTTTTAACTTTTAATTTTATAACTTTTAATAGGTGATAAAGCATCAAAAATAAGGTAGACTTTCATAAAAAAACATTTCTTAAAAATGTTTCCTAAGAGAAATACAGGCCGTCAAAGTTTACAAAAAAAATAGTTTTCTCTTCATAACTTTTAAACCACAAAATTAATTTGGCACACAATGTAATATAGTCAGTGCCTTAATAATGATGTAGATAATTATTTAAAAAAAAACATCAGTGCCGCAGTTACTTGGGGGGCTGCTCCCCTTTTCACCTCAGTCTTTGACGCCACTGGAAATTTTAAAATAATAAATAAATAAAATTTTGATTTGGAGCTTCGTTTCCAAAATATTTGCTCAAAAATGTTTCCTCGCAAAATTACAGATTTAAAATTTTAATTTAGGACTTCGTTTTTGAAATATTTGGGCACACTCCAAAAAAACTGGATAAATAAATTAATTATTTAAAAAATGAAGCACTAAATCAAAATTTTACATGAGTACTTTTTTTCTCTAAATTAAACAGATAATCTAAAAATAAGATAGATAATCTAAAAATGTGCCCCCCAAGTAACTGCGGCACTGATGTTTTTTTTAAATAATTATCTACATCATTATTAAGGCACTGACTATATTACATTGTATGCCAAATTAATTTTGTGGTTTAAAAGTTATGAAGAGAAAACTATTTTTTTTTGTAAACTTTGACGGCCTGTATTTCTCTTAGGAAACATTTTTAAGAAATGTTTTTTTATGAAAGTCTACCTTATTTTTGATGCTTTATCACCTATTAAAAGTTATAAAATTAAAAGTTAAAAAAAAAATTCCTGTGTTTAAACGTTACATTTATTATATGTCTAATTTCAACCTTGAATAACTATTAAAGGAGTGAATTTACGAAAAAATTATAGGAGACATTTTTTGTAGAACGTTCAATTTTCTTCAAAAATATATAGAGTTCATTCTAATATGTTCACTCAAAAACGAGTTATACAATTTCAAAGTTAAGAAAAAAGAATTCCTGTGTTATTTAAACGTAAAATAGAAATTCACGATGAGCGACCTCTAAATATTAATATTAAGAGCTACAATTTTCACAGGCTTCTTTTTTTACTGCTAGGAAGATATTTCAATGCGGGCTTTGAAGAAAAAAAAATATTCGATTTTTTTAAACCAGTCTAATGCGTATTCTAAATGGGAAATATTTTGATTGACTTCCTGAAATCACGTACTTTATATAATAATTTGTTAAGCATTAACAAAATAATCTGTAACCTTTAAAATTAACAAAATGCTTAAAAAATGCATATTACCTTTACAAAACTTTCGGTAAAATATTTTACTTAGTTAAAATAATTACAAACCCTTGTTTTCTACAAAAAAATATGTTAAAATTTTACAAAATAAAACTAAAAAACTACAAAGTCATGTTAACAAATCTGATTTTTATAACAGTGTACCAACATGTAGTTTTTTGGAATGTTTTGGATCCTTGGGTCTTGGAACACTTTGATCAAGAAGATCCGGCACATTCAGTCCAATTAACGCTGAGGGTCTGTGGAGAGTTGTTTCCTGGGTTTTACGGCAAAGACCTTCAAACTCGTCTGATTTGAATCATATGGACTATTAAGTGTGGTCAATCTTGGAAGAAAAAATTTAAAGAAGCCGGTACAATACCCTAGATGATTAACCTGAACGTTGAATCACTTGGCTTGTGGGTCGATGAAGAACGTAGCTAATTGCGCGTCAACTTGTGAAGGCGGGTTTTCTATTTATTTAGGTAAATGTTTCGTTAATAATAGTTATTTATGTCATTAGGTTAAAAAGTAAGGCTTTTTGTGCTAAGCACAAAAAAGCACTTCTTGGCCGAATGGCATACAACATTTTAACTTCAAAGCACTTTATATAGGTCAATTTAATTCAACATCAAAGCGGCCTAACCTAACTTTTTTAGAATGTCATTTATTTATTGGCTAAAGATTACCTACATTAAATGTATAATAATTATTATTGCTTTTAGAAGCAGTAATAGCTTGACAATACAGCATGATTTAAGTAGAAATGGATTTTTGGTATTAATAGGTAGGTATCTAATTTCAATTTGTTTGGATTTCTATTTAAAAAATAGGTAGTTTGGAATGTTTAAGTTGTGTTTAACATTTAATTTCACTGAAAACTTAAAGCAAATTAAAACTTAAAGATAATTTAAATCGCAGAAAAAGAATCGTGCGTTTTCTTGGTTGCCTAACCTCACTTTTTGTTTTATAGTTCATATTTAATTTTACAATAATTTAATGAAAAATATTAAACATTAACAGTAAAACAAACAAATTAGTGCTTATTATAAATAAATTAAACCAGTTTAGTACGTTAATTTCTTAGAAAAGGATTAATTTGTCAAAACAATACCCCTAGCGAGAAAAAATCAAACTAATTACTTGCCTCATAAAATTTTTTATCGGCCTAGGCCATAAAAAGGTATTTCTTAATCGAATAATGAAAAAAATAAAGTTTAAATTATAGACCGCGTGGAGATCAATATATTTGTTACTGTTTTAAATACAAAATTCCATTATTTATTCAATAATAGAGTAACTGTATGATGCTAAAATGTGATAAAACTTTTATCGCACTCTGTACACAAGTAGAGTTTAAGTTCGCCTTTATTATATTAATATATTATGTTTAAATGAAAATTGTTGTTAAAAAATAATTTAACTGCAAAATTTTGTATTAAAAGTTTTTAAATTACAAAAATAACTGTTTAAAACTCATTTTAAAGTTTTTCATTTATTAAACTCTATTTTAAGTCCAGTACGTATACACTTTTATATAAAATCCATAATCCATTGTATAACTAACCCCCCCTTTTTAAATTAGGGTTATTAAATTTTATTATCTAAACACAATTTCTTGTAAAAACATACTTTATGTTATTAGAATAATTCTAAGCCTTATGCGTTTGATAAATTTAATTTAATATCGAACACGAACTTGAATTCCAATAACGATTCAACGCATCGAAAAAGGTAAAAGAAATAAATAATTTAAACATTTTATGAAGTTTAGGTCGGACCGAAAATTCGTAGAGCATGTCTCTAAAATACGTGCTAAAAATACACTTTGCTACTGTTTATTACCCACCCATTTATCATTTTTGCTAGTGTCGAATATATCCCACTTTAAATAGAGCTTTTATTTATGAAAGACGTCAATCATTCGTGAATAATGCCCATTATTTGGAATGTAATACTATTCTCTTTCTACTCCAATTTAATAATTTTAATTAATAACAAAATTTATTATAAACTCACTTTCTCCCGATTTTAAAGATCATTATATCGTTAATCCTGTTCAACTCTTTTATTCTTTCTTATTGGTTTCTACGGATTTGTCACTTGGGAAGGTATAAACACACCCGTAGGCTCGGTGAATTCTTATTTAGGCAAATATTAAAAAACTTATCTGAATATGGCTCCTTGTCCCTTTGTAATTGATCTCTTCCAGGTTTATGCCGCGATGACTTCGACAGGTGGGGTGGCAGTTCACTTCGCGCTTTTAAACTTTTAGATAAGGTTTTTAATGCAATGACTATGCACTGTATACTTGTTTATAGTTCAGAGCGGAGAAACTATCACGTCTCGACCGTAGGAACATAGATTTGGTACTGTTGAAACCATAAATTGAATTTGATATTAAAAACAAAAAGGGCTTAAAAAAAGTTCACATGAAAATTTAGAAAACGTATTGAATTACCCTTTACCTGCAGTAAGAAATCTAAACAAAATCTGGCCTAATAAGGCCGCGGCGGATCAATATTGGGTCCAACAGTTGCTCAATATTAGTAAACCTATTATAATGTTTATTATTCTATTTCAAAAAAATTGGCATGCTTGTGTATTACGCAGGTTTATTTCTATAGAAATTATTAAAAATGTAATACTTACTGCCCGATATAATTGCAACAGATTTCCACTTCATCTCGAGCACAACCCTCGAAAATCCACTTGTAATTGCTGGTATAGAAGGACTTAGTCTCGACTTCTGCTCTGTATCGATTTCTTTGAATACCTATAAAATATAAAAAACACAAACTTTAGACACCAAATTTTTGCTTTAAGCGTGTTGCACAAACATGCACTCACAGGCAGCATGTTTTGGTCTTATTTAGTACGACCCGAGGTAGAGGACATGTCTACTTTTGATTATTTAAATATGAACTTTTAAACGCACTTATTAGTAAGCTCTCTTAAAATAAAATAGTCAAAAGTCTACTATTTGAATTAGTACCAGCATTTTTTATTAATAAAATACTCGTTTTTACTTTTAAAAAGTTATTTTTTACTACGTAAATAAACTGCGCACCACTCAATGTGTCGCGACCAAAAAGTTAGTTCTTTTTCAAAACGACATAACTTTTTTGTTTCTTGAACGATTTTATTTTGTTCTGTGATGTCTGCTAGCCTCATCCTCTGGCAATTCATGCTATAGATATGAAGCTCACGGTTCTTCAAGTAAATTTCCTACACGGTGAAAAATTTCATCCAAGCCCCGTTTGTAAAAAAATATTTTTTTTTTTCGTTTTTACTTTTAAATAATGAAATATTATGTCTTACCTTAAAACATGTTTCAAATTTTTCGAATTGGAATCTTAGCAACGAAATTATGATTTTTTTCCAAAAGAGTACACGGAAAAAAATCTATACTGATTCCAAGAAAATTCAACTCTATCCAAGTATAGCTTAGTTTCCCTATTCCGCAAGTAAATTTATACTTGTTTCAAGTATCCTCATATTCTTATAAAATAAAGATAGCTTCGGTTTAATCTAAGATTACTACTATACTAAAAATAAGAAACACACTAATTTTGAGTTAAGTATACAAATTTGTCTTCAATGAAGACTACGGTATTCTTGTTGTAACGTTAGTATGTACTTCATCAAAGTATAGTTTCTTTGTGAAATCTTTACAGTATTCTTGTTTTAAGAATATACTTTCTTTAAAATTTATTTATTTATACTTATTGTAAGTACACGCTTTACTTGCATAAAATGCTTGTATTTTACTTTTCCTTTTTTTATATTTGATAAAAGTATATATACTATATATATATACTATAGTATATATTTAAAATAACTTTACACTATTCTTAAAGAAAGTGGTTGATTAGAAAAAAAAATTCCCTCATCTAGCGACTCGGAATAATTTTTACAAAAAAAAACATTCGTGACCCTGAAAAATATTTGTATTAATTATCCTACCACTACGGAAAATACAAGTAAAAGTATATATATTATTTAGTTAGTACTAAAGTACTAACTTAGTATAATAGGCACTGATATCACAATAGGTTTATTACCTAACAGTCTTGGAGGTATTAGAAAAATTCTGTCAATTTATATAAATTCATTCTTTCACGGTTAATTAACATAGATACTATATTTTACATTTTATTTTTTTTAGTACCTAGGTATCACATTTTTGGTGCTTTATGTAAAGGTAAGGTTTTTAATCACAATAGTTATTATTTTTTTAAGTAGGTATTTTTATTGTCAGAAAAATTTATCTCCAAGCTGCAGCTAAATAATTTGTAAAATGAGTCTCTAAGAAGGCTACCATTATCATCGTAGATGGTTTGGTGTTAAATCTTCAATTTTTTCTCCACTCTTGATCCTCAATCCTATTTTTGGAATTAATTCCTTTAAATTCTCCTCGCTTAGGTTTACCATAATATCGAAATCTATCTCGTTTTCTAAAACAAAAATAATATAGCTGAATTGGAGGCTATAGCATCTAACGTTTTACATAAATGTGGTTGCCTTTCTGTTGTTTATGTGCTATTGTCTATTACATTATTATTATTAGCGTATGCTATCCATTTACACTACAGTATACCTATCCATTTTACACTACATTTTTACGATCATGCCTAGTTAATTAGGTACTTAAAATTAATGAAATATTATTTACTTACCCAAAAATGTGTCTAGTAAACATTCTAAGCCCCAATTTTTAAGTTTCTCCTCCATTATTTTTTATTAAAAATAACATCCAGACCGAAAAAGAAAAAAACGAACTACCACCATAGAACACAGGACAGAACTGAACACAGAAACTGCGTCTTTTCTTTTAGCGAAGCGGTCTTAGAGGGTGGACGGTATTTACTTAAGCGAAGAATTAGGTATTTGTTTTAATAATACACGGAGAGAAATGTATAGTAAATTTTAGATAGTTAAAAAAATATATTAAAATTTACTTTAAAAAATGTTTAGTTTAACAATATTAAATATTCGTCAGTAAAATATAAAGATTGTAATACGAAATAGTATTTTTTATTATACAATTTTAGTAAAGATTACAACACCAATATTATTAGATCAAAAATGTATAATACGTATTTTAATTTTAAATATATTCGTATAGTAAATTGATTTTACTATCTACAAATAGTAATATTTACTATATGATTTAATTAAATGTATTATACAAAATAATAAAATACACTATTTAGTTTGTTATGGGTTACGTATCTATTATATTTATTTTTAAAATTTACTATCTAATTATAAGAATTAAAAACAAAATTGGTTGAGAATAATAACCTTAAGGTTTAATATACATGGATATTTAAAAATTACTAAATATGCATAGTAACTGGCAATATACAAGATAGTTGTCCCAAATAGTAATATATAATATAGTAAAGGGTATTATAATTATGGTAATCAGTATTATACTTTTCTCTCCGTGTAGCTATACTTAAATACAGTATAGTGTATTCTTTGTTCTAGAGGTCTTATACTTAAATTGAAGTATAAGCGTTCTTGTATTAAATATACATATATTTAAATAAAGTATACCGAAATTTCATACAAATATACAGAATACTTAAAATAAGTGGCAATATTCCGCTTTGAGTAAAAAACTAGAGCTCTTTCATCTAAGCATTATTGTATATTTTTGATTTAAGTATACCAATTTTCTTTAAAATAAAATACCTTTAAACTCAATCCAAGAATACTCATCTCAAATCAAGTAACCGTTTTTTTTTAAATTAAGTATATCCCATTACTTAGTTTAAATGTACGCTAGTCTCATATAAATAATAAATATACTTAAATCAAGTTCCTAACATGAAGTATAGAACTATTCTTAAACCTAGTAAGGGATTTTTTTCCGTGTATATTTAAGGCTTTTTTGTAGGCAATACACTCAGTCTTTTTAGGAACAAGAAGATAAGATGGTGAAAGATTGTTTCTTAAATAATTCTGAACAAGCCACAAACTTCCATTATTTTCAGAGGGCCTAAGCAAAGAACACTTTTTCAAAATAACATTTTGATAAAAATTTGCGAAAACTAAACCTAAACGGATATTTTCGTTCGTGACATGTTTGGTCTGTGATGTCGGCTAGCCTCATCCTCTGGCAATTCATGCTATAGATATGAAGCTCACGGTGAAAAATTTCATCCAAGCCCCGTTTGTAAAAAAATATTTTTTTTTTCATTTTTACTTTTAAATAATGAAATATTATGTCTCAAATTTTTCGAATTGGAATCTTAGCAACGAAATTATGATTTTTTTCCAAAAGAGTATATTTAAGGCTTTTTTGTAAGCAATACACTCAGTCTTTTTAGGAACAAGAAGATAAGATGGTGAAAGATTGTTTCTTAAATAATTCTGAACAAGCCACAAGACACAAACTTCCATTATTTTCAGAGGGCCTAAGCAAAGAACACTTTTTCAAAATAACATTTTGATAAAAATTTGCGAAAACTAAACCTAAACGGATATTTTCGTTCGTGACATGTTTTCTTCATAATTTTGACCTCCCGATTGTGATTCAGTTGTCAAATTTAAGTTTCAGTTAAAACCAAAATCACCAAGAATTCGAATTCTAAAACAACACAGTAGCTTTTTCAGAATGTATTAAACTAATACTAGCACAAAATTTATATAATAAAAATATTTTTGTATTCTAGCCTAGAGTTTCTAGGTAAGAATTTGTATACGACATCTACCTGTGTTACATAATATAAACCACTGCCACTACAACGTTTAAAACTATTATTAATCCGTAAACACACACCGTTTATTTAAAGTCCAAAAAACGTACAATAACAATTGAGTCAAACCACGTCAAGTGGGACCAGAAAATTTCACGAAATCACCGATTTTGAAAATAATCACATTATTGTGTAGTAGGCGTGACTCATATTTCACAGTAAAAAAATTGTTTTAAAATTCGTTTTTTGGTAATGTTAGTAAGGTTGACAATTTTGTCAAACTTTAGAGCACGGTAAAATTGAAAAAATAGAATCTCTGGGACCACTCTGTATAATTAAATTAAATTTTACACACTATTGTAGAAATGTTTAGACTATATAATGATCATTTAATTAAGGTTAATTTGTTTAAATAAAAGAATTTTGCATACATTTATTATAAACAATTGAAATTTTGTATGTGTTCTTCACGCTGAAAAAAAATTAATCTTGTGTCATAATATGCGGCAAACGTTTCCGTTTAATAAGATGTACTCAAAAATTTGCCTTTCATATGTCATTCCGGAGATATTAATTTTTTTGTCCCGCTGTGCGCTTGATCAGTACGCGGCGCGCTTCGCTGTTAGCTCGTCAGCACACGGTGTGCCTGAACGAAGTTTAAGTCACATAAAAATTCCGCAGTTTCTTGTTCGGGACCCTTTGGTGACTTAAAAATGATATTTACCAAAATCCTAGCTGCTCCTCTTTTCGAAATTTTTTGAAAAATCTTTTTTATGCATTATGCTTTTTACTATATAAAAAAGTGATTTTTGTCTAACCCTGTATAAATCTAAGCATATATATAAAAACAGTTTCTCTCGTTTACAATATCGGTGTACAAATGTGTACTCTGGCAAAGGTAGACTTTGCGATAAAAAATAATTTTAAAAAAATTTAATTTTTTAGAAATTAAAAAAAAAAACAGAATTTTGGTAAATATATTTTTTAACTTCAACCAATTTTTCGTTCAAAATTGAAAACTACTCAAAAGCCTAAATTAAACAACATTTTAAATACTCTCTAAGCGTTATTTTATTAAATGTTATTACAAATCTAGTTTTCTTGTAAAAGGTTAATAATAATGCCATTTTGTAACCTGATAGACCTAGAAATATCTAAAAAAAATTGGGAATACATATTTTTCGCGTGTTATGCTAAAATCATGAATTTACGCTTTTGCATTATTAAAAATAAGTGATTTTTGGCTAACCCTGTATATATCAAATGATGTGAACAGTATTAAAAAATATCTCTAATAGTCTCCTAAATAATATACTCCAATTTTATAAAAATCCGTGTGCAAATGTGTACTCTGTCAAAGAGATAAACAAAAATTTAAAAAAAAATCATGAATTTTCGAACAATTTCGAAAAGGGGAGCAGCTAGAACTTTGGTAAATATCATTTTTAAGTCAACAAAGGGTCCCGAACAAGAAACTACAATCAGTTTTTGGCGGCATTTTTATGTGACTTAAACTTCGTTCAGGCACACAGTTAAACCGTTCGAACGGACGAGCTAGCAGCGAAGCGCGCCGCGTACTGATCAAGCGCACAGCGGGACAAAAAAATTAATATCTCCAGAATGACATATGAAAGGCAAATTTTTGAGTACATCTTATTAAACGGCATATTATGACACAAGATTAATTTTTTTTCAGCGTGAAGAACACATACAAAATTTCAATTGTTTATAATAAATGTATGCAAAATTCTTTTATTTAAACAAATTAACCTTAATTAAATGATCATTATATACTCTAAACATTTCTACAATAGTGTGTAAAATTTAATTCAATTATACAGAGTGGTCCCAGAGATTCTATTTTTTCAATTTTACCGTGCTCTAAAGTTTGACAAAATTGTCAACCTTAATAACATTACCAAAAAAACGAATTTTAAAACAATTTTTTTACTGTGACATATGAGTCATGCCTACTACACAATAATGTGATTATTTTCAAAATCGGTGATTTCGTGAAATTTTCTGGTCCCACTTGACGTGGTTTGACTCAATTGCAATAAGGTTTAATAAACGTGCAATAACAATTGCGATATAAACCACTAGCACTACAACGTTTAAAACGATTATTAATCCGTAAACACACAGCAGAAACACGATATGCAAAAATAAAGATCATATGACAAATAAAAACAAATGCCCGACGGTGCCTAAAACACGAACTCTACTGAATTCCAACAAAAATAAGTAACAAGCCAGGACACGCGTCATATGTCCATCTTTGTCGAACACCTAGGCAGTTTTACATCACAGATGGCGCATTTTAGACCGGATGCTTAAAAACCTACGTGTGAGTACATTTACCGCTGCATCGAATGTACAAGACAAGTAAAACATTACTGCTAGCATGTCTGAGATATGTTCGGCACCCGATTAGTCACGTTCATATATTGGTGGTTTCTACTGTAACGCTTTTTGTTTGACTAAATAGATGAGTGTACACGGACAATTCAAATACCTTTGAAAAGTTGTTGAGAATAGATATAGGCCGATAATTTAATATGTTACTTCTATCACCCGATTTCAATACCGGACATACTTTAGTAATCTTCCAGAGGGTTGGATAATCAGATGTTTTAAGAATGGCGTTGATGATAGAAAATAGTGGCTTAACAAACACATTTGTGCAATCGCAAATCAAAAAACTTGGTATCATGTCATGTCATGTCATGTCATATATGCAGATGAGAGTGTTGCTGTTTTATAATTCAAAAGTTTAAGTTCATTAATTTGCTATTTAAAAAACTATCCACCGTAAAGTGTAATATCTCAGTAAGTAGATTTTTTTTATAAATATTTTATGTATGTACAATTGTTTTTTTTTAAATATTAAGGTGCCAAAAGATACAATAACTTATTTCAAATATACAAAGGGATGTTTAAAAAAAACATACGAAATCCTAACCACCGTGAAGCTCTAATATTTAAAATGTATGATTTCTTAAAATTCTTGCATTAGTGCAGAACCACTTATGTTATGTTATTACTAGACCTGGTGGCTTCCCAAAAACCCCATTCTAGACTAACAGTGAAACAACCAAAAATAAAAAATAATCATTTTCACCCATTACATAAAATAAATAAACATATATGTTTAGGTTTAGAATGATAAAGTAAGAGAAGGTAAAGTAAGAATACAATAATAACAACAATGATACACAGTAAAAAAAGTAGTGAAGATATTTAACTCTAGTAAACTCTAAAAACATTCTATATGCGACGACTTTTTTTAGTTATATTTTCACATTGATGATAGTGTAATAATTCATATTTCTATAGGGTAAATATTATAACGGTATTTAGTGTTACATTTAATTTACTAGTGCATAAATTTAACACTACTATGTGTTAAGGGTACTCTGGGTAGTGACCCGGGAAAAAATAGTTTTGTTAATTAGAGTATTATTTTGCACTATTTTAGCACATTTAGACTCTTATTAATGAGTTATTTAATCTTTTAGAGTAAACAAACTACTCTATTTTTAGTTAATTTGCATACCTTTTTTACTCTGATTAGTAAACATTACATTCAAATTGAGTAAAAATTACTCTATCCTAAGTTGCTATAAAGAGAGGAAAATTAAAAACATATATTTAAATTCAAAAGTGTATTTTGTGAAAAATAACAAAAATTAAAAATCATATAACTGATGTTAACAAAAAAATAAAAACAATGTATAATTAAAATATTTAAATTAACTCGAACAAATGTTTCTTTTAAATCAATGCATCCATTTTAAATGGGATTTGTATATAATTGGCTCGTTTCTGTTATTATCGGTTTTTAGGCATAATGCCTAATCACATTTCAAGTTTTTACAATAAAATATCTTTAATATAAATAATAATAATAATGTACCTATTTTATACGTATTATGCAGCGGCACCCACGCACAAGCGAACCTTTAAACAGCCCTTGGAAACAGCACTAAACTAGTTCACAAATTTATAGACGCTTTGCAATCCCCACCACAAATAATAACTTTAATAGTGTAGATTTAACTCTTTTTAGTGTAAAAATATACTCGCTTACTGTTTACTTCACTTTAAACCAAAACAATAATACACTAGCAAGAGGAAAACTAGGGAAATTTTAACTCAAATAGCGGTTGTAAAATACTAATTTATAGTGTAAATGTTTTACCTTTTACAAAGTCTAAATTAACACTAATGCGATTGTATTAGACATTCGAGTAAAAAATATAATATTTTTAGAGTTACGTTATTTTTACACTGTAAAATAATGTAATATAGAGTTATGTAGAGTAATATTAAGCTATAGAGTTAAATAATTGGTTCATTTTACACTGAATTTCAACTCTAAAATATTTACCAACTACACTATAGCTATAGCTACTTTACTCGATCCATATTTTTTACTGCATTTATAAATGCTTTCTTAATACAGGTAACATAACAATTACACCAAAACCAAACGCTGCCTGATAAATTAAAATGAATTTATTTATAGGAAATTTGAGATAACTAATATTTGGTGAAGCGTAAAAATAAAGTTAAAGGCTAAAAATCTCACTATATAGTGAGATTGTTTGGTTTGATTACCTGCGGGCAGTTCCAAGTCGACAGCGTGTGGTTGTAAAAATTCGAAATAAAGTATGCAGGAGAGCATAACTCGGCTCTAAAGGATCCTACAATGGTCTTGGAACTTGTTGACAGCACGTGAAGCAGTTTGCTCGACCCATCGCATATATCTGGAACAAAAAAAGGTTTATAAATAGAAAGTTGCGATGAAAAGCCCAAGAAAAAAAGACGCTTACCCGACCTAGAGTTTTTCATTTATTATGAAGATGAAAGAGTTTTTTATTAAATAGGTATACGTTTTTTATTGTTAATATTTAATAAAATTGTATAACCTATTCAAATTATAAAAGTATATCGTCGATTACCTAGCCAATATCTACCAATATCTGCAGTTCAAGTTTTTCAAATATTATTAAAGAATTATTTAAACCCATAAACTATGGTATAGTAAATAGATAATCAGTCCAATTCACTTATGTTAACGTTGGCCACTAGAATTAGTGGTCGATAACCACTGATTCTAGTGGCTTATGTTAGTGAATTGTAAACTATGTCATGAAGTTAAGAATTTTATTTGTTAAATGATAGAGGAAAGTCGCCTAATTTCAGATTCCTTTTCAAAATAATCAAAATTTTTTAGATAAAATAATTTTGTAATGCTTTATCTATTGGCTAGTACACCGAAAAAAATAATGTAGTTGAGTTAACGTTTGCCTAAATGTCATTTTTGAAAATGTTGTTTCATCAAAAAACCTATTGGATTGGATAAAATATTGATTGTGACATAAACTTATTTTTTAAATTAAAATGTTTATCCTATTTTGATTTAATAGCTGGAATTGGTTGAATCAAATACTGAAATTTTTAGGATTACCTAAAAAACTATTAAATTAACGTTTAGTTGTTCTTTAAATCCAAAACATTAAATTTGTTCATTTAACAAATTGTAAATGTTACTTTAAAATTTGTTAATTTTGCATTCATAAAATTGCCGTGAAGGGCGCTTCGAACACCCACGCCACCTCATTAGTCGGTGTTGATCACGTGATGTTCTTACATCTCGCCTCAGTTGGCTTACGTTAGGAGTATATAAGCTCAGGTAGCCGTTGTTTTGGGTGTGTTCCACAGTGGAAATTCCACTACACCAATTTGCCCGACACTGATAAGAGCCCCAATATAGGTCGAATCAGCTGTCTGTCGGTAAGTATTTAAAGTAGGTGGAACGCACTCAAAATAAAAACTCTGGCGAGGGTTCGATTATTTCTCTTTATATTAATTCCATAATTTTGTTTTGAATACCAACCTTTCAAGAATGTTACTTTTACATTTTCAGAATGTTAACCCAACCCAATTAACCCAACATTAGCGCAAATTATTTAATTTAACATTTTATTGGTGTTAAGTGAATTTGCTAAAAAGGTTACTTGGACATTTCAAGAATGTTTATTTAACCAGATTAGCAGATTAGAACAAATATTCTTATTTTGTTCATTTGACTAATATTTGTTGTTCAATTAAACAATACAATTTGACATTTTTAGATGGTTAAGTAAACGTGCAAAAACCATTGCTTGTCTTTAAGTGCATAAAGAGTTGAATTAATATTTTTGTTGTTGTTTCAACAGCTTATTTTTTCAGTGTAGAGTCAATTTCCGTTTAATGATTTGATTAGTTTTAAAGATACACCAGTATCCGAAATTAGGCGCCTTTTACCCTATTTGGGGATCAAAAGCGACATGCCAATAGTTTTAATAGCCATTCGGGTTTGCCGGGCCGATACTATACACTAGGGTGGAGTGAATTTTTTTTTAATTATTAATTGATTTATCCCGAAAACCTATTACTTGCTATGTTACCTACAATATATCTATCGATCAGAGAACTAGCATTGCCGAAAATATTAAAGGCGAGAAAAGAATCAAAATGTTCGAGATTACGGGAATTAAAGCTTCCACAACTAAATATTGAAGCATTACGTTTGTACAAGTTAATTCACTGGGCGACAGAAAAGGTGACTGAACCACCTATGACTATGAAATACGATGACAGAAATTACCGATATGATTTCTTCGGGTGACCATTTCCCATACTTTCAAAAATTTCCGTGTCACACCCAAGCAGTGAAACGCTGCGTAAAACTGGTTATAACCAGTATACTGAATCTTCAGTCTCGGTTTGTGGATCGGAAGCAAGAAATGGTTTCATCAGAACAAGAATTAAAGTCAGAAAATAATTACCAAATTTTGATACCAAATGTCAGTATTTTCGCGAAAAAGAAGATCTCATTTTACCAATAAACACTCCTGAAGTTACTTAAAGCATATGATTTACTATTAAATATGTTTACATTTCACGTTAATTTTACTAAAATAAACTTTTTATTTATAAATAATGCTATTTTTATTACTTTGAGTGAAGTAATATTTTTTTAGAATTTTCAAAACTTCGAGACAGATGCGCCACCTAAAGATATTAAAAAATTGGAATATTTTTTCGATATTTATCATTTTACGCCTTTAGTCAACAATAATAAAAAAAAACATGTACTTTATATGAATTGTAAAATTTTGTTCAATAAAATTTATTATAATTTAAAAAAAAAAAATTAATAATATAGAAAAAAAAATTAATAATATAGAAAAAATCAATTAATAAATAAAAAAATTCACTCCACCCTACTATACACCCAGTAGGATCATGAAGGAGGTAGGACGGGAGGGATAGACATTTTGGTGTTTAGAGGAAAATTACGCCGACTCAAATCTATGTACGACCCGGAATCCTCCTAGACCGGGAAATTAGTATTACTTTAAACCTCGCTTTAAACATTTGGAATTAATATCTGAAGTTGGGGAGTTGTTAGTTAGCTGTAGGGACCTATCTTCCTTGTTAGTAGGCTACGGCTTGATCGTCATCCTGTACTCCCCCCTCTTAATGGTATTTCACTTTCGACGTTGAAGACGTCCAAGGTGGCTAGTATTATTTCCAATGGTTTCCATTGGTTTGTCAGTTACGTTTTCGTAACGACTGTTTAGTTCGATTATTGCGTTTTATACGTAGGGTTTATATGATCCTAGGTTCATATGGTTATTTATTTCTTGATTAAAATACACTTTTGTTTGGTGGTTATGGATTTATTTGTCTTGCTAAGCTATAATCCGGTGAATGCCAGCGATAAGAATTGGGACAGCTAGGTTTTATTGTTTTTTGTATTGTTTTACTATTACTATTATCTTATTATTAATGTTGCGTTTGCTCTTTCTTTTACTTATTTTTTTAGTGTTGTGTTTAAGCAAAAAGAACCGCTCTTAGTGTGGTGTAGGTATCTTAACGAGGTTAATGTTGCAAATTTACGTATTAGGTCATGTTAGTTAAGAGTTCGTATCGACTTTTGCAGATAATGGCCCTTCCAACTCTTGATTAGCTTCGTTTGTTCTTAACATAAAATTCTTCGTCAGGTGGTTAGTCCACTTTATTACTTCCTTAACCTTTAATTCACTGTAGAAGTAGTTTATTGTGGGTTGTAAAATTTGGGTTTTAAGCAAGGTCTCGGTTACTATAAGTCCTACCTCTTCAAGAGTTCGAACGTATTTTTTAGATATGTACATATGGGATTTATTCATTTTTGTTATAATTATAAATATCTTGTATGTACTAATTGAAAAATAAAGACCCATTCTTATTATTATTAGTATTATTATTATTATTATAAAATTGACTAAAATTGCATTCTCTCAGAGATACTTAAACGAAATTTGGTATATTTTTTAATTTGATAATGCCTTCCACATGCTTATTTTGCCATTTTTTATGACTGGATTATAACATACTCGATTATGTTCTTGTTACCCTAATTTACCTGTGTAGGCTGTAGATAAACTGTTTTTTTTATAAAAATGTTTAATTACCGATTTGTAACCTGTAACTTGAAAACGAAAACTCGTAGAGCATAACAAATGAAAAAACAATTATTTCTTATCAAATATTAAACCCAGCCAGAAATAAGTTTTGCATATTTGATTACATGTTTTATTTTATTCACATTTGTGATTTTAGGTCTAGATCGTGTTTTGACTACTTTATTAAAACAGATGTGATTTTGGCTCAAAAACGAGCTCTACTTCCTTTATGTGATAAACTATGGACATGGCACCCATCATATCATTATAAAACTTTGCGTATCATGTTTTGAAATTACGCTCCACGATATAGGTACTCATTTTTCATTGCAATCCTATCATTACTAATAATTATTTCGGAGGAGAAAAGAGTAACAATCCACGTGCTGCCATATACAGTGAGCGCGTTAAAATCCCCCCCCCTGTTAACTTTTGAACCAAATAAGATCGATGTCGGACAAAAACCAGGGTAAACTATATTGTGTTTACTACTTTTTGACGTCAAAATGAAATTTGTTTGCCTAACAAGTATCAACTTGAAAATTCCTAATGGAAAGGGGGTGCTTGAAATGATACCTCATTTGAAAGGTATTTTAATTCTCTATATAACACTTTTTATGTTTTTAAAAACCGTTTAACCATAGCTTAGTTATTAGGGTTTAAAATTAGTTATTAGAGTTTTATTTTGGTTTTAATTTATTAAGAAAAATTAGATGTTCAAAATTTTCCCCTTGGACAGCTTGACACACAAATAGCCTATCTTCAAATTCATTTCTATCATTAGCAAAAGTTTCTTGCGTAATACTAGCACATTCACGTCCAATCCGGTGTTTAAGATCATCTATGGTTTCCGGTTTTGTAATGTAGACCTTCGATTTTAAATATCCCGACAAAAAAGTCAAGTGTCGTTAAATCGGGAGAACGAGCCGGCCATTCGGTAGGACCACGCCTACCAATCCACCGATTTAGGTAATTGTTATCAAGCCATTGTCTAACATCCCTAAAATAATGTGGGGGCGCTCCATCCTGCTGAAATATGACTTCTCTGTCAAATTCATAAGGATAGGTATTGATTATTTCCTCAATCATTGGTTGAATTTGGGTTTGAAGCATGTTAAGATACAGAATACCTCTCAAATTTTGTTCCAAAAAGATGGGGCCTAGAATGTGGTTTCCCAGTATTCCCGCCCATACATTAACTTTTTGCGGATACTGGGTGTGACCTTCTCGAAAAAAATGTGGATTAACATCTGACCAGTAGCGTTTAGAGA